CAATTGCGGCAGGCCCCCGCCATGCCCTCCCCTCCCCTGAAGAAACACATATGTTCAGGACCAACCAAGGTATAGAAATACAGGCAAGCAGGGACACAGACAAAAGGCTCGAGATCAAGGACAAGTTAATATCTTAGATGGGAGGTGGCCTCGTCTTCTCAGGGCAAACCATGGCTGACCGCTCCCGGTAATCACCGTGGTCCTAGTAACTGGCCTCTACAACACCCTGGAAGCGGAAGTATGTCAAGGGGGTTCCTACTAGAACATATACTGCTTGCTGCGGGCTTAAACTCTCCGGCTTTCCACAGTTTCCAGTCACGCTCTGGACTCTGGAGAAGAGCGTGCTTTGTATAATGGGACGCTGGATCTGGATCTGGTCTCCAGCAGGTGCTGCTCCCCGCCAGTGGACTGGAGCCATCGCAACCCGGGTGGATGCTCATATCACCCTCCACAGTAGGACGCTCACCAACGCTTCGCTTCGGTAAAAAAAAACAAAAATCAGTTGGCGGCGGCTTGCCGCCGCTTTTGGTTCCCTTCCAGTTTTTGGCGGGCGCTTCTCCGTGGCCACGAAAAGGTGGGCGCCACAGAAAAAAAAAGAAAAAAAAAAGAAAAAAGAAAAAAGAACGAGGACTGTAGCCGGGAGAGGAGGTGTGTCGTCAGGATTTATTATAGACTTCAATGTCTGCATATATTTTGTCGAAAGGAAGGTTCACGAGGAATCCGGTCTCTCGCAGTCAGGCGTTAGGGAAAGGTGGGGACCGATTCTGTGTGTGCCTCGGAGCTGTCTTCTCGGTCTGTGCTTCGATGCTCTCTTCGTCTCGGAGCTGTCTTCTCGGTCTGTGCTTCGATGCTCTCTTCGTCATCAGCGTCCTTTTGGCTGTGCAAATTATCGTATGTCCTACGTAAGTTTCTTGGGTTTGGCTGTCCGTTGTTGACCTAATTAATGTAATGAAGTTTGGACTCTCTTCTTAGTGCAGTTTTGACCTTCGGTGTTTTTTTTATTTTTTTTTATTTTTTTTATATATAGCTGCCCTCCCGCCTTCTTGTTGCTCGCTATGGTGGGCTCGCCGTTGACTTTGCTCGCTCTTTCGCCTGTCGTCGACTTTTCTCCTTCGCGTGTCGCAGGAAGAACAATTCTGTGTTCGCGCCCCCCCCCCCCCTCCCCCTTCCCCCCGAAGACCTTGGAATTTCCTATTCTGGGGTGACGGAAGTCCAACTTGTCGCGGTGCCTTACTACTCACCGGAAGCGATTCGCTGTAACATTTTCATAATAATCAAGTTTGTATTTTAATGCAGCCTGTGGGCGTAGTTGTACCATTCGCGATTCGCCAAAACTTGAATGCACCTTGACATGAAAAAACTGTCCAGATGCATAATTTTTTTTTGGCGAATGGCGAGTGGCAGGCCCTGTATGAGTGCATGCTAAGTTGTGCTGAGTCGTATAATTGTGATTCTAGTTGACTTCGTGACATTGTCAGTCCCTCCAATTCCGCGGGCGAAGTCTGCACTTGGCTGGATCCTTTATTTCTGACCGTGAATCTTCATAATCTACGGTTCAGTCAGAAATCGAGAACTCGCGTAAGTGGGACTTGGGCCTGTCTCGGACTTGGGCCTGTCTCGCATTTCTGGCCAGGGAAAATATAGTCTAATTGAATAAAATATCATCCATAGACGAACACTTGCCTGTCTCCATTATGGACTGTGGTGCGCTACTCCGTAGATGTTTAAAATGGCTGAGTATATCTTCAGCGAGAAGATGGAAAGATGGACGTGCCATTGTAGTTTTTATTTGTCAGATTTTGTCTCACGTTTGGCGAGGGGTGGACCGAGGCTGTTTGACTGAGGAAAGGCCTACCGTAACGGTAGCGAGAGAGAGGCGCGAAGCCTTGCTTTTACCGGTAAATTCAAGGGAAATCTGATATTCATAGAAAATAATAAAAGATTGGAAATATGATCCGAAGTCTTGGTTCTCGATGGTTATTGAACGGAGATGAATTAGTTGACCCTACTTATCTTGTCTTCGTCATTTGCGTGCTGGTGTGCACATCTGCGGAATGGTGCTTTTATTTATTTATTTTTTTTGTTTTTTTTTTATATATTTTTATGAAGTGGTGTGTTTTTGCGTGCAAGGAAACGTTTGTCTGCACGTGCACGCGCGCAAACGGCAACTAATAACTCTGTTGAATGATGGCTTTTGAGAGAAGGCAAATGTCTCTTTGCAGGTGCACGTGCGCAAACAGCAATTGATTTCAGGAGGGCAAACTGCAATTGACTTGACTGTCCAGATCCAGCGAGTGGTCATCTTACCTTGAAGTCACGAAATACGAAGTCCGAGCAAATCCGTTGACGTCCTCCTCTGGCTGGCAAGATGTACGGAACTATTCCGATTCCCTGTTTTTACTTAGTTCGTCAGTCTTGAACCGGCTTTGTTTGCTCCTTTTTTTTTTGTTTTTTTTGTTTTTTTTGTTTTTGTTTTTGTTTTTGATTTTTTTTTGGTTTTTTTGTTTTTGTTTTGAGTGGGTTCTTATCCGCTCTGCCGGTTTCGAGGAGTTCCTTTATGGCTCCTAGCTTTGCAAGCAAGTCGTGCAAATGATGCAAGACTTGCAAGGCATACAAACTCGTTCCACAGGAATTGTGCCGATTATCTTTAGAGCATGTTCATACACGAGGACTTTTTCGACAAAGCTCTGGACATGATTTGCGGTGAGATTCATCCAGGTCTGGCCGTAATTGCTGCCCGATGCATTTTGGAAAATGCTCGTGTCAGTCAGCCGACAGTCGCTTTCAGATTCTTTTTTTTTTTTTTTTGAGTCGCTTTCAGATTCAGTATGCCCACAGTCTCTTTCTCCTTTGTCTTTCCCTTCTTTTTTTGTTTATTTAAAAAGGCGTCGGCCTTGAGATATCATCATTGAGATGACCGTCCCCAGGCAATTCAGAAATACTTGGTTTTACAGTTTACTCCTTAATCAAGTTCCATCATCTGGATTCGAACTCGGGTCTCTATTTCAACAGTTCACGGGGGCGAGGTCCCACTAGCAAAGAGGATTGGATTGAGCTCCCGAATCTGGACGTGTTTGAAGCAGAGATGCACAAAAGCAGTTCAATCTCGATTTTCTGCACCTTTCCACAAACACGTTCAGATGCAGGCATTCATCCATCATCTGGATTCGAACTCGGGTCTGTATTTCAACAGTTCACGGGGGCGAGGTCCCACTAGCAAAGAGGATTGGATTGAGCTCCCGAATCTGGACATGTTTGAAGCAGAGATGCACAAAAGCAGTTCAATCTCGATTTTCTGCACCTTTCCACAAACACGTTCAGATGCAGGCATTCAATCCAATCCTCTTTGCTAGTGGGACCTCGCCCCGGGTGTACCCACTGAAGTAGGCTCTGGGGTTCTTTTTGGTTTTTCCGACACGTCGACATTTCTTTCTTTTCTTTCTTTTTTCTGTCGTCTTTTTTCTGTCGTCTTTTTTTTGAATGAGTAGCTCTAGCTTCCATTCTCAACCAATGCGTTCTATTCGGGTGTAGGCGGGTGAAGAGCAGAGTCAAAAAGTCTGGATGAGTGCATGCTAAGTTGATTTAAATGTTTCGTCATTTTATAACTGACGGGCCCTAAAAAAAAAAAAAAAAAGGGTAATTCAGAATTGCAGTATTTTACTCGTCTGCTTCCAGTTGGTCTGTATTTCAACCGTTTAGGGGCGTACCAACTGAGGTAGGGCAGTTGGTACTGTAGGACTTTTTGACTTAATTGCTGCCGTAATGCGGACCCTTGGGAATACCGAGAAGGGTTCCACCTCTCAGGGCATGCTCGCTTCAGGGCATACTCACACTATAGGACTTAATGGCTTGTTTGTGGCCGTAATTGCAGCCGGATTCTTCCAGGTGCAGGGTCGCAAATCGGTCAGATACATTTAAGATAGTGCTAGTGTCAGTACCCTCTCAGTCATTTAAAATTCTTGTCTGGCTGTAATTACGGGTAAGGTGCTTGTGTCAGTATGCCCTCAGTTCCAGTCTTCGACGTTTTCTACGTTCCCCACAAATTTGCGGTTCTTTGGGAAATCCTTTGAAAACGGTGCGTGCTGCTGCAACGAGCCAAAGGGGTTTCGTTCTCACTGCAGCCTATTGCTATGTTCATGCGTTGCAGAACACGAAGCAGGTCACTATTACGGCCAGGTTCATTGTTTCCCAAGCATGGACATAGCCCCAGGCCCCCAGCTGGGATGTGCCCCGTTAGTGCGGACCTCTCCCCCCCTGCCCCCCCATTCAAGCTATGGTGGTGAGCTGTATCTGTGTTTAGTACGGAGTATTGCGCCGAAATTCACAGCTGCAGCAAATTTACAGGTTTGCAGTTGTAAATTTCCCGCCAGACAGGCGGTGACAGCAGTGTATTGAAGTATTTCGGCAGGAGTAGAGGCTACACAGCCCATAGCTACACAACCCATAGCCTACCTACAGTCTTCCCCCCAATACAACGTATGGTCATTATATCTGAATTTGGGGTATCTTTCAGTCTAAATTCAGCTATAATGACCGGCGTACGTTGTATTGAATTTCGTGGGAAGACTGTGATTGCTTGCGCAGTATGGATTATGTAGTTTTGGTTGTAGTAAAGGACTGGGGAAATTCGTAGTACTATGTAGTTTTGCTCGCGTAGTTAATGACAGTGGAAATTAGTAGTACTACCTACTTCACCCGAATACTGTCGTTATTGCTGTACTTAGACTGAAAGATACCCGAAATACACTTTTGTTGACCGTACGTTTTGTTCGGGGGAAGAATGTAGTCAACATTCGAGAGTTATATGGACTTTCAGATGCATTTGGACCGATAGGGGGAAGAAGATACGCGAAGGAAAGGTAGTTCCTTACTTAACACGGAGTGACAAGCTATTATAGTCACGGAGTGACAAGCTAGTATAGTTCCTTAGTACTGTGGAGCTCGGAATATTTCCTCTATTGATTCCTTTCTCATCGCTACTTGGGTTAGGTCCTGGGTAAGGATAGTTCATTATTTAGTAGGTATGCTCTGTAGCTTTGCTGTCTAATCGGTTCTTGGGTTAGGTCCTGGGTTCCTTATTTAGTAGGTACGCTTTGCTTTGTAGCTCTCCTTTGAATCCTTTCTAATCGCTACTTGGGTTAAGTCCTGGCCCCTGCGTACGGATAGTTCCTCATTTATTTGGTATGCTCTGCAGCTCGGACTATGTTTCATTTGATTCCAATCACTATTTGGGGTAGGTCTCGGCAAGCTATGGACATAGCAACTACCGTCTTCACCCGAATAGAACGCCGGTCATTATCACTGTATGATCTGTATCTAGGCTGGAAGTTCCACTAAATACAGCTAAAATGACCTGGCGTTCTATTCGACTGAGGAAGGGTAGCTCTGTTAGTGGTAATTTCCTCCCTGGACACTGACAACGTGGACGGTTGGATGCATAGTACGGAGGAAGTTACTTGTCCATGCATAGTACGGAGAAAAGTTCCTTGTCCATGCGAAGTACGGAGGAAATTACGTGTTTATACCATGCATAGTACCGTGTGTACTATGTAGTACCATGCAGGAGTCGAACCCCTCTCATTGCCCTCTTCTCTGCTGTTTAGTCATGTCCTTCCCCCACCTCTCTCTCTCTCTCTCTCTCTCTCTCTCTCTCTCTCTCTCTCTCTCTCTCTCTCTGTGTGTGTGTGTGTGTGTGTGTCTGGGGTCTTTCTCTCGTCTCCTTTTCCCAATCTATCCCTCACCATCTGTCCCTCCTCTCCCTCTCTCAGGAAGCATGGTAACTCGAAACTAATGTGGATATTATGGCTTTTAACCACTGTATGAATTGATTATGAAAGATTACATCACACAAATAAACGGGCACTGCGTTCGGCACTCTTTTTCATTTTCCCTCCCTTAAGCAAAAGGGCCTGGACTTTTGAGACATTTGCAATTCGTCACAACGTCGCCCAAGCTTACGGCTTGTAGTATGTGTCTGTGTCTTGCAGGGCTATTGTGCAGGCGAATGCAGATAAGGCCATTGCTGATCTGAAAGTGGAAGATGGAGCTGATGCGGAAGAGGAAGATTCATTTGAATCCCTTGACAGACGTGAGTGGTATTTGAAAGCTTCCTCTTTCCCCCCCTTTCTGTTTTTTTTTTTTGTATTTTGTCTTTTTTGTCTTCAGGACCTGGTGCCATGCCACTCTTGTAGATATTGGGTTGGGACAGGCTGGCAGGCTGCATATCTGTGCAATATCTATGTAGTAGTTGCAAGGTGTTATGGATAGGGGGGTTATGAGGGTCCGAACCAACCACTGACCAGCAGGCGGGGAGTAAATGTGTTATTGAGCTGGGAAAGCAAAGCAGGCATCAGGATTCGAACCATTGACCTTCACGTTGATGAGATTGAGGAAATAGTGGGCCTACTCTCAGTGAACTGCAGCAGGTGGGGAATGAGGATTTGAAGCGCTGGTCAGTGGTCAGTGGGACTGAAATTTGGTATTGCGCCGGTATGGTTCTGGGCGAATGAGGTAATTTACTAATTTTAGGTAGTCCCACTGCATGGATAGACTAAAATATAAGCGCCATCGTTGTGTGAGGGCGTCGTTAGACACTCCTCGGGGACGTGATTCCAAGGATTTCGTCTTCGTTCCACCTGTCCTCGGAGATGAAATCGGAAATGAAAATGTGAAAACACTCCCGAGGACAAATCCTTGGGCTCCGAGGATTTCCCAGCCAAATCGTCCTCGGCTCCAAAGGACCTCGCGACCTCGCGGTCCTTTGGGGCCCGAGGATCCGTGTTTCACGGAGAGGAGAGGGCATGCACGTAGAGAGACGTTACAACCGAGAATTCGCATCGTGGCGGCACCCTATTGGCTAAAAGCCTGAAGCACAACTTTTTTTCTTTTTGGCTTCCTTTTTTTTTTCTTCTGACATTGCTCCGAGGATGAGTCCTAAAACGGATGCTCCGAGGATGAGTGTAACGAAGACGACGAAAACCCTAGACTTTTCCGAGGATTCGTCCTCGGAGCCCGAGGATGCCCCGAGAAGTGTCTAACGACGCCCTGAGTCGGGGTCTTTTTTGGGTCCTACGCTGATTGCCCGCTGATGTTTCTGGAGATGTTGAATTAACGGGTCAACAACAATGGTGGGAGTGTGGCTGGCAGGCTGGCAAATTGGTGAAGGAGACTAGACTCTGAGGTGGAAGACCCCCCTAAGGAGGACCGCATGGACCGGCTTGGTGGCGGTCAAAACTGGACGGGATAGCCATTCCCCGGTGTCTGACCCCCACCGGCACAGTGCGATCCGAGTTAGACTGTATATCACAGTGCGATCCGAGTTAGACTGTACATCTCCTAGTGTACTGTGCATACAGTAGTGTGGCTACAGCAACATCTTGTATGTCTTCACACATCTTGTGTGTCTTCGGATGCGACGTCTGTTACTCTCACCTAAACTGATGTGATTGCACGAGTGTTTCGCACAAAGGTCAGACAAGCCAAAGAGGCTTGGCCTACCAGGTCTGTTTGGCTGGCAGCGCGAGGCAAAAAAGGAGAAAAAAGAAGTGCTGCAGCGGTTTTTGCCGGTTTGTGCTTTCTTTTTTGTGCGCAGCACAAATCTGCCTCGGGAAAAAAAGTCTTGGATGTATCGGTGATCTTCGAAAAGAAAGATCTTCAGAAAAAAAAAAGGGGTCAACTGTTCGGCGTTTCGAACAGGTGGAAAAAAACACACACCCGAAAACACACCCGGGCATGTCAGTCCCGTCTGACTTTGAAAAGGCAATAAGACAGAGGGCCTGAGTTAAAAAAACACGGTGAGCAAAAAACAACAAGAACGCTAGTTTTGGTATTTTTCAATTTTGCGCACTTCAAATTGCCTGTGCGACAAAACTCGAGACCCCCCGCTGTAGCTGTCTCCGAAAAAAAAAAGATTAATTATAATGCAACTTTTCACTTCAAGTGCTTTGTTTTTTTGTTTTTTTTCCGTGGGCGATACCTGGGCCAAGTACTGATGGTTTAAACAAAAGAAGATGAAAAAAAGACTTCGTCAGTCTGCCATTTTCGTTTTTGCCAGGCACACAAAAAACTTGGAAAGACTGAAAAAAAAAGCAACCAAAAAGAAAGGAAATGAAAAGGGCAGGTGAACATGGAATGCAGGCTGCCGGACATTTGTGTTCTGGAAAGGATCCCAATTTCTCAAATTCAGAATTCATGATTTAATTGAAATTAAATTTAATTATTTGAATTTAAATTATTTAATTCCTTTTGCCAGTCTCGGGTCCATGGCGTTCCATTGATTCTGACTCTTTTTCTGAGTCAGCTTGAGCACTGGACAAAACGTCCATGACTCCATGCTGACCTCGTGTGCAGACACTTAAGTAAAGGCAGGGATGTCAGCAAGGTGAGCCGTCCTGTATGGGCATTGACCCATCTCGCTCCATTCCCCCCTGAGGATGGGTTTGCAGGCCTCAGGGCGCTTTTGAGTCTTTCGACCCCCGGGGCAGGCCCCAGTGCCCCACGGGCTCTGTGTTTGTGCTAAGTTATGAAGTCAGAATCCGGGGATTTTCATGAGCTGCTTCCTAAGCATGAACATAGCATCATTATAGGGCCTGGTTCTTATCTATAAGGGGCAAGCCCCACTTGACTACGCTATTCACTTAGCAACTAGTCTAGTACCATGTGATTGTGTGGAGATAAGAGCCAAAACTACTCAATGCATTCCATCCGGCGTAAGCGTCTGGATAATCCGGAATGCGGCGTGGCATGCCCTCAAGACCTAAGAAATGCATATTAGGAAAGAAAGTCAAATTCACACCAAAAGGTGCCCTCAACACCTAAGAAATGCATATTAGGAAAGAAAAGTCAAATGCACACCAAAAGGTCCTCCGATGGACCAGTGGATGAAAATTCCTTGCCAATGATGCCCTCGGCCCTCTGATTATCACGGGTCCTTTACCTCCCGAGGGACAGAGGTACCTTGGGGAAGGGCACAAAATGGCTGTAGCCTGAGGATGCCCCAAGGATTCCCGGAGAAAATGTTTTCACTTTTTTTTTTTTTTTTTTTAATATCCGAGGATAGGTGGAATGATAATTTCCTCGGGGACTTTACGGCCCCGAGGAGTGTCTAACAAGCCCCTTTGTTCTATTCATTTGGTCGCCTCTGGATTCAAACTTGGGTCTGTGTTTCAGAATTTCATAGGTGTACCAACTGAGCTATTGTCTGATGGTCAAACTTAGATGCTACAACGAACTTTCTGGATTAACAAGCTTTGGATTTGACAGCCTATAGGGGTCGGTATTCCTCAGTTGGGCCTGAGGCTATGTACAGCAAGGGGCAAACAGCCATGTTATGCATTCCTGCTCAGTCGAGCCTTGGCCTATATATAGTAAGTGCCAGACAGCCCTGTAAGGGGCAAACAGCCATGTTATGCATTCCTGCTCAGTCGAGCCTTGGCCTATATATAGTATGTGCCAGACAGCCCTGCTATGCATTCCGCAGTGGGAACTCTATATAGTAAGAAGGGCCAGACAGCCATGCTATGCTATGCATCAAACTGCCAGTACCTCTCCTGTATATTGGCTGTGGGCCCTGCACGCAAAAGATACGGGATGTATCTGGCCAGTGCACGAGGATGGGCCGGCCTCTTTGTTAATCGCCTGGGCTTTTTTGTTTTTGTCGGGGAAAGGTACTGGTGGTTTAATTTGGTGCTGTGCAACCATTCCAACTTTTTATCAGCAGTGGGCTAACTTGGTCTTCCTCCTTTTCGTATCGGGATGGGTTAGTCGTAGCCTCCTAAGTCCTAGTGGATATTTTACTGCAGAGTCGTAGCCTCCTAAGTCCTAGTGGATATTTTACTGCAGATTTCAAGGTAAGGGACGGTCAGCGAAAAAAGAAGTGCTGGGATCGTGATTATGCTGTACAGCATTTAATTTTATTTTAACATCATCCATTAGGACCCGCACACTTTCAGGGTAAGGGACAGTTGGCAATTTTTCAAAAAAAAAATTTGGACCATTTCTTGATTTATGCAGATCATCCTTGCACAGGGGCCATGCTAATCTTCTCTGTGTTGTTCCAATTTTAACGGATGTCCTGAAGGACTACAGTCAGCAAATTACTAATGGCCCACTGTAACCCGCCTCCCAAATTTAACTTATATGATTTAAAAATATCCATTAGACCTAGGAGGCGAGTCACAGTGGGCCATAAGTCCAGAAGAACTTCCATATTATTATGAGCTCCAGGCCGTAATTATGCTGTACAGTGATAGTAATTAGCTCCTGCAGGGACCTGCACACTTTTTTTTTTTTTTTTTTGAACATCATCCTGGCATGCTGGTGGTGGTGATAAGAGCATCCACCACAATCAAGCCTGGGTTGATGGCTCCAGTCCATTGGTATTATTACCTCCTGCACACTGATTAGCTGCTTCAGACTAGTTAGCTCTTCACAGAATCTTGAGACTAATTTTAGCTGATGGGGCCTTGCTGATGGTACAGTGCTGTTATATCATTGGTTGACACGTGGTAGTCCGGCGAGCTTCTTCGTTAGCCTTATTTGTTCGGTTGGAGTGTTGTCATGCCCTTACACAGGATCTGTCAGATCATGGAAACTTGTGTCAGGGAACAGAGAGTGATGTTTCAGAATCTTTTTTTTTTTTTGGGGGGGGGGGGGATTGAGTTTTTGCCAATGCCCCTCCTCAGGGGCCTTGTCCAACGGTGCTGAGGGGGCCTTGTCCCACCAGCACCGTTGAGCCAGCTCCTCATTGGGGGTTTCAACCATGAGTGACACCGCACGACATGTGAGATGCGAGATCTCCTTACAATCACACGGTTGATTTATGTGAAATGTGTACGCCCAACGAAAAGGCCTCTTTTTGTTTCAGAGAAACTGTGGAAAAATAGCTCTTGAATACAACGCCCCCTACCCTTGCCCTTTCTTGTTGAGCTAGCTGACTCGGTTTTGCGTCTCAGCTACCTCAACGCTCTGAAGCTTGCGGCCGATGTGTGGAAACTAACTCAACGCTCCAAAGCTTGCTGCCGGTGTGGAAAATTTTTACTTATTCGGTGCCGTCATTATTGTCTGCGCCAGAGCATTCTTGATATCTGT